TATGGTTGGAAATATTCTGTTTCTTGTAATTTGGCCTGAAATATATTTGCAATTTTATAACAAAATGGCCCTATTTTGAGTCAGTGTCCTCATGTCAGGCCTTTTTTATTAATTTTTTATGATAAAATAAGTGTCCCTATGTCAAATTGTCCGCAGGTTGAGGTGTCCGCATGTGGGGGTCTCACTCTATTTCAGGCCATATTCATGTTGAGGTACATAGAAAAATTTTATGCACTTTATACAGAGAATACTTGAGATTTCTACCAGCAAGTTGAATTTCAAGCCTCTTGAGTTCTGACTCATACAAATGACTGAAAAATCTTGGAACAATCTAGTAAAATAAGATGAAAATCTGGTTTAATTAATTTCTTTCGCATGCAAAATGATTTATTGTCTCAAAATCTTCAGCAAATTATATGTCCTCTAAAACAGACAATTTTTTTTTTTCAAATTTGATATTTACCTGCATGGAACAAGCTTTCATGTTCTGTACCGCAGGAGTTTTTCGAAATTTTTTTTTTTTAACCCACGTGGTTTACGAAAATTCGTCTGTTTTAAAATTTTCCGTTCATTTCCCTGGCGTCGAAGAGACGAACCTGTCAACTTGTCAAAAAGGGAACAGGATGGATGTTGGGAATATTTGCCAAGAAATCTCGTGACAAGGCACCCACTTTCCGTTCCTTTCGAATTTTCGCACAAAGCACAACTGTTGTGCAAAACAAAATTTTGCAAAGATGTAAGCATGAGAAAATGCCCGGGTTGTCATGCCTGGTTTATCTGACAGTTTGCAGGAAGCGGCTGTAAAAAAAAAAACTTTTCGACGGAAAATGAAAAGAAAGACAGCCAATTTTTTTTGCGAATATTCTTCTGCTCGTCGTATTACATCACGATCTTTTTCGGTTCTCTTCCACCTTTTTTTCACCCAACAATATGAGAATAAGCGAAAACTCGACAAAAACACTGAATTAAAATCGTCTCCTAAAGCTTACTTTCCCTTTTTTTTCGCGGAAAACACGACACGAAAAAAAAACAACACACCGTCATCACATATAATCAATAATGCGTTTTGTCTGTTTTGTCAGATGTCAGCTCTAAAGAAAGTTTAGGAGACGAAAGCGGCATAAAGTCAAGCTTTTCCTTATGTTATTTTCCCGAATACAATTCGTAGTATGTAACATTCTTTTTTTGTGTCGACTCGTTATATGTAAATTTTGGTCTTTTTTTTCTACATGTGTCTGGTATTTCCGAATCCTCCGTGTCCAGATTGAGAAGCTCCACCTGCGAAACCAGCTTGCAATCCGATTTGCGTGTCCCGAAGACGCTTGATTTCTTCTTCAGAGAAATTTCTGGCATTTTCTTCTGCCATTTTCGGACCCAGAGTCGGTCCATTGTATTCCGGATGTTTTTGGGTCTGTGGAACAAAAAATTTAGAAAATTTTAAATGATTTTTAAAGCTGAGTCCGCGGTGGGGATATTTAGATTTGCGTCGCGTAGATGTCGCTGCCGCGCTGTTGAGGAAAAAAAGGGTTTGTTTCTTGGGTTGCTCACCAGGCGGCCGAGGGCATAAAGGCACAAGGTCACTTGGGCAATGTTTCGCTTCTCTGTAAGATCCACAGTTTGGAAAATCTCTTCTTCTGGAAGTCCATACTTTTTTATTGCTTGCTGAAATCTGCAAAAAAAAACACAGCAGCAATGTACTGTACTGCAATTTTTAACAGTAGCTATTATTAGTTACATAATATTTGCCATCAGCAAGACATTTTTCAGGAAAATAGTCCATGTTTATGAAATTTCATTCAGGTTGTGTGGTGATGTGGTGGAACACTTTGAAAAATGTTTCCCTGTCTTCCTTTGCTTTCTTTGTACAGTCTTTAACAGTACCTTTACATGCATTGTTCTTGTCTACATTAGGAGTCCCTGGAGGAAATTGTCATAGCTTTCTTTCTGAACCAATGACCAGAACTTGAAAAATAAATATTTTAATGCCCTTTTTACCAATCATTCTCAAAAATGTATTGGGAATCAAATTGAAGTGTTTGGATAATTGAAAGTGCAAAAGACAATGGGAATTTGGACTGAGTATATCTTTAGAAAGTTATTTATAGGTATATGTGTTGCAGATTGTGTAGCAATATCTAAAATATTTAAATTTCTGTATCACACAGCAAATGGATGTTTTAGTTTTAAACCAGGATGGATAATGTATTTCATTCCCAAATTATTTTCTGGGAGGATATTTAAGACAAATCATAATTTTATTAGATTTTAAAAAGTGATATGTTTACAATATGCTGAAAAATGAATACCTTGCTTTTATATGAAGAAGGGTATGACAAATAGTTTACCTTTGAACATTTTCCATCATCTGAAATTGTCCCCCTTTTTCATTGATCTTCTTGACTGATCCTGGGACAATTTTGTTGATGAGATGACACAAAAGAATCCCATTTTTCAGCAAGTCGTCATAAGGTTGGTTTGGCAATTTCTCGCCCAAAACAGCACTGATCCACTCCAGGACTTCTTTTTCTTGTTCAGGATCACGTTTCTATACAGCAGTCACCAAAATTATATTATTATTTTTTTTATCCAGCACTCAATCAAATTAATTTCTTTGATTGTTTCAAGGTCAACTTACAACCATGATTATCGATTTTTGTAATGTTCAGGAAAAGGGCGAGGAATAATCTTTTTCTCGAATTTTGTCTGCGTGTCAAAGGGGAAAAAAATGTTCTGCACTCGGTGGGGTCCGAACGACGACTGCGTTTTTATGCGAGGGAATTTTTCCGCGTGCGTTTTTTCCGCCGTGCTCTTTTTTTTTTCCTGCTATGCTTCTCAGCCGAGGGTTGTTTTTTTTTCAAACACTTGTTTTTTTTTCAGTTTTAGAAAGGAAGAAATCGTGTGGGTTGATCGTCAGCGACGTAAGAGAGGGGGGACGGCCAAAAATAATCCAGAGGGGACTTGAAGACGTGCTTCGCTGCGACTCTCTTTGAGAGGAAAACTTAGTCATTCCACAGTGTGGGGGGAAAAGACGTTCATTGGTGACGGAAAAGAGGGTGTTAGAAGGCTGTAAAACTTTCCCAACATTCTTGGGTTGCTATGCGAAAAATATTTGATTTTTTTGTGCTGGTTTATGCAGAGCTTCATATTTTTTTGCAGGGAAGAGAGGTCAGGTGTGTCAGGTTGATTTGAACAGGGATTTGAGGGAATGGCAGAAGCTGGATATGGGGGGGGGGGGGGATTGAGAAACAGGTTCACCTGGGGAAGGTTAAAGAACATTTGAGGCACTGATTTTCAGAAAAATGTGGGTAGGTGTCACTCCATCCATGTTATGCCTGAATATGCTGTAATCAAGTTATTTTCCTGTGTCCCTCAACATGCACAGAATACCATCCATTTTGGAATCATGCTCTGGAACATGGAACAAGCTTGCATAGCAACTCATTGCTCCTGAGCAGACAAGGTCATTATATGTCTGGCTTGTGGTCATTTACCTTGCCCCCTTTAATGGCATCTTGGTCCTGCTTGTGCAGTCGCGTCTGGGTCTTGTTGAATCTATAAAGGGACCTGCGTACTTATGAATAGATATTCATTGTTGGTCTGGCGTTGACTGAGGTTGCACAGAGAATAAACAATTTGCACTCTATAACAAGAAGTCATGTTTCATTTCAATCCCAGCCAAAAGAACAAAATCTTCTTGTTGGAAGTTTGTCTAATAGAGTTTACATTCTTAAGATTAATCAATTTTTGTCTCTAGATAATTCTCTTAGTTGATTTGGACAACAATGCAATTTGGTCAACCCCTGCACAACAGGTTTTTGCATAACAGACCACCTCTGGACGTGGTTCCCCCTCCACAATAGACTAAATCCACATAACAGACTTATGTTGATTCAAATTTTATGGTAAAAAATGTAAAAGTTTATTATTTTTTTGTTAATTGAGTTTGCATAACAGACTTTTCACACAATAGACTAGTATGTTGCACAAGTTAAGTCCATTCTGCTGGGTTTGACTGTACTCTGCACTTCTGCAGTCTATTCAATGCTAATTTTTATTGTAATTATGCTGAATATTGCACTTGAGTAAATGTCCCAACAGTTTTCAAAAAATAAATCCATCATTCAAAATCCCAGATATTCCAGAATGTTTTACCACCTTTGCAGTGCCAGAAACTTCAAATACTTTGAGATACTTTTAAGATGGCAAAAGCTTTAGCATGAAAATAAATTCATAGAAAAATGAAGATATTTCTGACATTGTCTTCATAGACCATAAGCCTGATTTTACAGAGATCTTCCGGGTCCAAAAATACGGTGCCATCAAATTTTCGAAGATCAATTGATAAAAACATTAAATTTCCACGTAAGCGAACCCCTATCTATTCACAGTATCATATTTATTTTACTTTATTTTATTTGAGAAAGACTGTGGAACGACGTTTGAAAAATCATCTGTTAGCCACAGAAGCTCTCAAGAGGTGAAGGGAAAGGTAATCAAACCTTGAACCTGTCCAAGTGCCCAAACAAACATTGCCTAGTGGTTGAGTCAGCAGGTCGTCAATTTTCTTTTGCGGATGCGGTTCGCAAAAAAAAAAATACAGAAATGCGTCATGATTTCTGGGGAATTGCCAATTAACTCTTGTAAATGGCAGTTAGTTTCGCTGTTTCTTTTTTTTTCTAGGAAACGGGTTGTAGTACAGTATACTCATGTCTAGAACGCGTATTTTCAAAGAACAAGACGCGCATTTTGGCATGAAGTATTTCATGAAGTTTGCGAAACAGCGTTTTCAAAATAGCACATACATTTTCATGTCACAGCATTTCCTCTAAAATGTTCTTAAAAATTAACAACCAATTTATAAAAAAAATCCTTGATTTCATTCAATCCAGAGTTCAGCAGTATTAATTAGAAATCAGAATAAAATGGCATTGACTCAAATAAATGCTTTTCACAAGTCACAAACATTAAATGAACCTCATTGATCAATTTACTGGATCGAATTTGATTTATGGATTTTAAAACAACGTGAAATTGTTTGATGATCATTCTTTGAATAACAGAATGCTAAGAGTTGAGAAATTATCATTTTACATGAAGCTTGTAATTTTTGAACCCTAATAATCAGAATTGGCCATCCTGCTGAGGAAACTCAATCCGTGAACCTTAGGACAACGTTTTATAGAATTGTTGTGGCGACATCTGCGAACAAATTGAGCTAACGTTTTCATTCGCATTTCATCCGATCCGTGTGCAGGGAGCTGGTCGCAGAGACAAGGGTGAGGAGGCTGAGGTGTCTGCATGGATTGCAGCAGTGTTGGGTGAGGCAGCGCCACCTGGTTTGCAGTATGATGACTACTTGAGGGATGGACAAGTCTTGTGCAGACTCATGAACACTCTCCAGCCTGGAATCATCAAGAAGATCAACACTTCTGGAGCCCAGTTCAAGTTCATGGAAAACATCAACAAGTAAGTACTGTACTGTAGAGTATAGTGTACTGTATATTGGATTTAGCTACTTAATATAACTTGTGAGTTAGTGGGTTAAGACAAATTTGCAATTGAATCATTTTGAGTCTTGTTGAAGATGAGTTGATGTATTTAGGACACTTGTGTCTCAAATTGTCCCTGCTGCCTTGAATTGTCAGCTGGTCTCCACAAAGTGGTTTGTAACTTCTCAATCTCAAATTTTCCATGTACCATCAGCATTATTCATATTTTCCTTAGGAGAGTTGGAAAGGATTTAAAGGATTACGAATTGGTGCAATAATTGTTTGCTCACTTGTTACAAATAATCGCATATCAAAATCTATTGCTTAGATAGAACAACAACAAAAAAACTCTCAAAATATCTTCAGCATAGCCATAATGGTGTTTGAGTTCTGTGAAAACAATTTCTTGACCATAACAAAGACATTTTTTCTGTTCCCATGGGGCTTTATTCCTTATAAAAAAAGAAAACTTTTGACCTCTCATTCATGTATTCATTCAAGGAAAAATAAATTTCATCAGTGAATTTCAACTTTAAAAAAAAACAAATATGTCCCATTGATGGTACAGCTTTTTTAGGTGAGTATATAGGCCTCAAATGCACAATACAAACACTACTTTATTATGATTATATTTACCTATAGTTACAGCTGTACTGTATATGAGGGAAGCACCATAACCTTCAGGCATAATGTTTGACAGTACAGTATTGTTGCAGAAATGCAATTGGAAACTGAAACCCCCTTTTTTATTGCAAAACAAATTTTTACATTTTTATTTTTGAATTATGGGAGGATTTTATCTTATGGACCTTGAATAATTTGTAGTGAGAGGGTATCACTTAAAATTCTTTTATACTGTTTTGTTCAACAATTGACTAAAAAAAATTAGAAAATACAGTACTTTTAGCTCAATGTGTTGTTTCCTCATCTAACAGCTTTCAGAAGGCACTCCTTGCTTATGGAGTTCCAGAACTGGATGTTTTCCAGACAACTGACCTGTTTGAGAAGAAGGACATCCCAATGGTGACCAAGACTCTGTATGCACTGGGCAGAACTGTGAGTCAGCAAAAATCTAAAAAAAAATGCTTCAGACCAATAAATGAATAAAATTGGTTATAAATTCAATTTTTTTTCCTGTTCTAACCAGACTTACAAGCACCCAGAATTCCCCGGACCCCAACTGGGGCCAAAGCCAGCTGAGGAGAACAAGCGTGAATTCGATGATGAGACTCTGGCAGCTGGAAAGGCCGTCATTGGACTGCAAGCTGGCACCAACAAAGGGGCTAGCCAGGCTGGCCAGAGCTTTGGTGCAGGACGCCACATTATTCTTGGCAAGTGAGAGGAAACCATGGACAAGATACGTGCGACATCTACCCTCGGTTGATGAACGCGGATTTCGGCTGCTTGTGCTCGGTTAACTCCGCTTGCGCTTCCTTCCAGAAAAAATACAAAACGCTATCACAGTATTCTTCGGTGCTAGAACTGCTACAGAAATAATAATAGATTAAATGATGGTAACAGTTTCATCGTGTCGAGTTTTCCGAAGCACAAGTTGACGATTCAATTCACAGAAAAATGTTTTTCAAAATAATCAGGACCATCGTGTTTTGTTTTTTTCGTATGCTGCGCTAACCCGCTGCTTTGTTGGTAAGAAAATTTAACACAAAAAAAGGCAATACTTTGTTTGTTCCAAGTGTTTTTCGATTGATGTAAAAATTCTGGTTTGAGCTCTTATACAGACTCAGCAGCCTCATGGTGGGCAAAAGTTACCACTTATTGCTTCTTTCTGAATTCGAAGGTTTTTCGTTGCAAATCGTAGATGCTCTTCGAAGGGAAATAAAAATTCTGCTGTTGATTTTTGAATTGTATCCTGAAATAAATGGATCAATATTGACAGAATATCATTGTCAGGTTTCATTCCAAATTTCACCGTAAATTTTTCCAATTTTCGAGGAATATTTCGAAAATCACGGAATTTTATACAGTATTCGTAAGGACTGAAGAGACATACGTAGACATCGCAAAAAAGGAGATACAGTAATATTTGCTAAAATTCACGGATGCTCAGCATCAATAGTTGTTTTCCACTCAGAAGTTAATCAAATAATTCCAGTTCAAACTATTCAATTACCACGGAATAATAACGATTTTATTCGAAGTACAGTAATATCAATTGAGACTCGATGGCCTTGCCTCTCGTATGCGGAGATAGGAAGACACAGGCTGAGCGACATCTACTCTCGAGAAATCAAGCTCAAAACACTTTAACTGTTTTTGAAACCGCGGTGTCGCTAAATGTCTGCCATCGATCGTCGGCGAATATCTTCTTCGGGGGTTCCTTTTCAAAAAACCGACTCGGACGCCATTTTTGCGTCAAACCGATACGTGACAGTCATGCCAAAACTAAACATGAGTTTCATAGATAAGAGAACACTTTCAGTCGAAAGAGATAACGTATACAGGTACAGCACAGGAACAAAGTAAACCAAACCTAACTGGTGTCGTCTCGGAAAACGCATCTCGTCAGCCTCACTGCCGAGAAAATATTAAAAAAAAAACCTGACTCAACCGTGTCGCCTATTATTCATCAGTCAAAAAAGCTTCTCATGTAATTTATTTTAGATTTCGTAGTAATCAGCGATCAAATCTTGGAAGAAAGTTGGAAAAAAAAGAGAAGGGAATTGACGAGTGATGGCAGTGGAAGTGGCGTTGACGAACCACCTGGTGTTCGGGTCGATTCTCAACACGATCCTTTTGACCACTGACCTTTTATTGATTGATCTTGACCGTGACGCCGAGGATTTCTTCAGAACCCTTCGAGGCAAGTACAGTGGACTCTTATTGGTTAACAAACTTGCTTACGGTTCCCGACAAGAAGTTTGCTGACCAAATTTGATTTTCCCGTAAACTTCAATCAAGAATCAATTTATCCATTGTTGGGGAACCAGAACTTGGGCCCAGGGATGTCAGGTCCCAGGACCTGGATTCTGGTCCTGTTTTCCTTTGTGCATCCGTTCCCCAGATGCACAACTTCTTTGATGCACATTTGTTCTGCCAATCACAGGCAAGGGAAAAAGTCCAGTGCTTTGGTCAGGTCAGCTGACTGAAGCATTGGGCTAAATTCTATAAAAACCCAGCACTCTTTCACTCCCAATAATCAGTCCTCTAAATTAGCTCTTACAGTAAACTTCCTCCAAACATTCCAACCCCAATTCGTCTGATTTAATTGTCGCGTTGCATTATTGCACCCTAAATTTGTGTGCACAAATTTATTGTTTTTATTGAATGTGTGTTGCATCATTCCATTTATTGTGATGTATCATTTTTTGTATTGTGTTTGATTGTGATTTATTGTGGAACTGTGATTAAATCAGACAAAACTATGGATATGTAATTAAGGTATCCCCTTAATTACACATTCCCGGCTGCAAACCGGCTGATTGCCCTGCCTTATTATTTCCCACCTTTTCTTCCACTGCGCTATGGTTCAATTCTTTATGTTGGGTTGATCAATTCCTCAACATCCATTCCTGGCATCCAAAATACAATTGAAAATTAAATGGAAAACATTTCAGGAAAAATATCATCTAATCTTAAATAGGTAATTTTCCATACCCTGTTATGTTTAAAAATTGTTTTTTTTGGGTTGAATGAAAACAGCACTAAAAAACTTTTAGTACAAAAAAAGCATGTACATATGAGCAGGAAAACTGCCACCAGAAATAAATTTTAATTTCACAATGCTGTATATAATTAAACCACAAATTCAGCAGTTGAACAATATGGTAACAGCTAAAAAAATTATGTTTGAAAGTGCTTTTTTCACAGCTTCTTACTCCTGGACATGGTTTGTTCAAGTGTCGGTCTAAAGTATTGATTTGTTTAAACACAAAAATTTATTTTTATTCAACAGATGAAACTCCAATGTCAGTCAACCGAGCTTTTGGGTCATCACCACCACAACACAATTTTGAGGAAGGTTTCAACCCAGAACTCACCACTTTGGACCTCGAATATCTGCCAGTAATTCAGAAAAAATATTCATAAAAAATTTTTAAAATACGGAATTCGTTTTTTACTTCTACTTAAAATTCGCATATACGAAGAAAGATCAGCTGACGTATGGAGAACAGGCAGAAAACGCCATCGAGGAAGTGGAATATTTGCTGGCACATTCCGGATGGAAATTGTCTCACAATCGCGGCGGAGCAACGGTGAAAAGTCTCTATTATCCCAAATATTCTCGCAGCATCATGATGCTTGAGGTATAAAATTCTTCGACTTAATTATTCAATCAACCCTTTCATCCAATTTTCCAATTCTTTATTTTTTATTTTAGAGCAGAGTCGATGCAACACCACAAGAACTGTTGCAAGAATTCTGGCTCAACGGCGACAACGCGCCAAATTGGAACTCTGACATTACTCATTCCGAGACTCTCGAGGTTTGTCAACATTTCGACGCTTTTGAAAGCACTAAAAATATCTAAAAATTCATCATTCATACGAAGGCTTAATGAGAGATCATAATTATTCTTTTTTTACCGAAACGAATTCAATTTTGGAAATTTATTACAGCAACAACAAAAAAGCGCGTCGTTGGAAATCAGACTGCTCAAATTAAATCTTTTGTTTGATTATGCGATTTTATGAGATCAATTTTATTTTATTGTCGACTTTTTCGAAGATTTTCATATATATTCAAATCGGGAAATTTGGCAAATATTTAAACTGCGAAACCTATCGCAAAAATAGCAGGATGAATCATTCAGTGGACAAGCTAAGACCTAAGGAAAACGTTCAAGAACATAAAACTCATAATGTTTGAAACTTTTGGAATTCCCACAGGATCTCAACCCGAGTTTGACAATTGGCTACAAAATTTCAGGCCCACTTGCTGGAGGTTCAGTTAGTTCCAGAGACTTTCTGTTGGTGACAGCTCGCAAAAAAATCGTTGACTCCTACTTCATTGTGTATGAAAGCACAACCCATCAAAAGGACCCCAAGAACCCAGACTATGTCAGGTTGGAAAATTTTTCAGCTTGTTCAAGCTGCTAAACATTCTGTTGGCAAATACATTGAGGGTTACCTTAATATAACTTCATCTCAGGATACTGGAAAATTTCAAGACTGTGCTTGAAATTTCACTAAATATCAATGAAGAAGAAAAAAAACCATTCGGGCATGACAGTAAGACTTGAGTTACAAAATGTTCATTTGAGAATACAATCACTCATGCAATAAAAAAATTTTCTGGATAAAAAAAAAGCTGCGCGATAAAAATGCCTGGATTCTATAACCATTCATCATGAACGACTTAAAGAATTTAAAGTTTTTCCACATTGAAAAATAATTTGGTGTATTGTGGGGCATAATTTGATTCCATAGACTGCATAGAGCACATGTGATTGTGCATACACTATGAAAAGCACAACACTGGGTCATGGATGTAATGAATGAACAAAAAATACAAATGAAAGAGGGATCAGATATTTTACTGAAGAAACAAAAGTGAAAGCATGTCTGTTGCAAAAGAACATCACATTACAAGCAGGATTTAAAACTTATAAATGATTCATTCTTCTGGGTCTACTACAAATTTTATTTATTTTTTGTCTGGATTAGATTACTTTTATCATAATGCAACCTGAAAGGAATTTGTTGTCCAAGCAAGAAATTCTTCACATAACAAAATATTAGACCTTGTTGAAAATTGATTTTGAATACAGTTAAATCTTAATAACTTCAACGTACCCAAGTTGAATATCTCCAAAAAAAATTGAAAAAAATCAAGTGCCCATCTGAATTCCTTCAGAGATAATGCATTAAAAACCTCTCCAACTTGATGGCTTTTCCTCACTCACCTCCATAACTCAAATATTCTTAGGCATTTTGGCTATTATTTTCTTGACACAAGAAAGAGAAAATAAATATGAAAGTAACGTGATGAGTTTTGAAAGGAAGTGGAAGACTGATTGGGCAAATGAACTCCAAGGATGCTCCAAGCTCAGTATCATGTCTCCTCATTTAAGATTAAGAAGCCCTTTAATACAAGCATATCACTATTTACAATATCCTATAAGTTTTTTATGTTTCCCACAATGAAAATGCTTGTTTCCCTCACTCAAAACCTCTTTATCTCAAATTTTTTGCTGGTCCCTTGAAATTGGACTTTGAGAGGTTCAACTATATAATTGTATACTTAGCATTTCCTTTCCACAAATTATTGTAACTGTATCACCTTACTGCCAATTTTCCAGGGCAACCAATGGACCCAGTGGCTTTGTCTTCAAACCTGCCTATGAAGATGGGAAGCTGATGACTGACATGGTCTGGTTGCTCAACCTTGACATGCACATGCCATCAATTGTGCCAACAGCCATAGTTGAGAAGATGCTGCCTTTGAACATGATGAAGTACATGAAGCAGCTCAAGAAACATGTGGAAGTCATGAAATCCACAAATACTTAGTCTTTCAGAATGAAGTGTTGCTTAGTAAAACATTGTCTTGTTGACAGTCCTCTCAAGTGGTGAAGTTTCTTTGTACCATTGACTTTCAAAGGTTCCTTCCAGGATATCTTGAGTCCAATTCCAGAGAGAGAGAGAAAAAAGGTATTTCAGAAGATTACTTGTACTTACCTTTACTCTCTTTACTTAGTCCCATCTACTGGGGCATACTCCCAAACACTGGCATATTCATATTAAGGTGAAAATAAAAATCTTTGAAAGTTCCCTTTATGACACCTACTATGACCTTTTCAGGTGAAATGGCTGGGACAAGAAAGCAGGACAATCCAGTCCTGACTGCAGCCAAAAGAGAAGACTACAATGTAGTGAAAGCTGCCTTAGTTGATCTGAAAAACAAGTCTAAAGCAAAGAAGGTTTCCTTGTGTGAGGATAACAGTGCTGAACAAGCCATTGATTTGCTTGCTGATGATAATGGGAATGCTGGGACCCTTCTTCATTATGCTGCCCTTTGGGGGTGGACTGATGTCATCACTTATGTTGTTGAATCTGAAGGTATACTTTCTGCTCTTTTTTCCAAAGCTCAAATTCAAACTGGAGGATTCAACAATTATTTTATAGTTGAAGTTTTTGACTTTGTAGATATTCTTGCCATGAAATTAAAATCCTAATGGGGCTCCTCTTACAAACATTTTCTTCAATGCTTCCAGCACTTTATGTAAATGGTGGAAAATTTCAGAAGTTAAGAATGGTCAGAACAAAATTGGGTCTCATATCTAACCAGACATGCATGCATGAGAGATATTATATATCCTATACTTAACTTAACCCTTGTGCAGCACAGATTGAGGATAAAATCCCAAAATTGTGTGTCCATCAGCACTGAAAACAAAATTGAATTATTGAACCAATTAAGGCATATGTTAAGAAAAGTCTGATATTTTTTATAATCCTGCAGAAAATTTTGCCTGAAAAAAATGCATCAGTGGGTGACATTTTTCCTAAAGTCCCAGGACTCCCAGCATAGGATTAACATTGGGAATATCTCAAGACAATGGGTATTTCCCCACCCAAACTTTTCCTAAGTCCTTACCCACCTGGGGGAATTTAGTGACCTTCAGTCAAACTGAATTGTGCCTTCCTTGAAAAAATCCCTAATCAATTTCAGGATGGAAAAAAACCCTCTGCCATTCATGTCTTTATTATAATGTGGCATTTGTCACCAATCTTGGAATCTAAGCATTTGGCAACAAAGAAAGCATGTAACTTTCCAGTTTGAAGAAAGCAATAGCATTTTTTGCTGGATATATCTTACAATAATTGACAAAACAAAAACAAAAAAACGTCTAGCACTCCACATTTGAAAAAAAACATTGGAAACTATACCTATATCTCAGGAGTCAGGAGTCAACACTTTTGGATCTTGCCAATTTTTTCACTTGGTAATTCAAAGATTGGTAGTCCAAAACCAATCTGCTCATAGCTACAGTATTGGTGACATTTGGCCATACCATATTTTACTATGCAAAAAATAATAATCTGGACACTGCTGGATCCAATAATGTCCAGAGAACTTGATGCATCTGTAATAGTTAATTACTGAAACTTTTTTGCTCCTCCTTGATGCATTTTTTGGCTCTGAAAAACAGGAATAAATGTAAATCTGACCAACAAGAAGTCAGGCAAGACTCCCTTCATGCTTGCTGTGGAGAACCGACAAATGCTGGCTGCTTTGCTTCTACTGATTCTTGGTGCCAACCCTCAAGCAAAGAATAACAATGGTTACACAGCTCTTCATTATGCCATCATGTGTGATGATGAAGAAACTGTAGGTTGCAAAACATTCGTTTTTTTTAAAGATAATTTCAAAGTCCCATTTTTAATGTAACACCAGGTTAGGTTCACCCATTGGGTCATGAAGAGGTCCATCAAAAGTGAGTCTTGTGCCAAGGCATACCCTTCATTGGCAGCCTACTTGTGCTCACCATTGTCTGGGGGTGAACAAACAGTGTGTCCAAAGTCTCCTACTGATGTATGTGACCCATTGAATGCAGAGAATGATGTGAATGTAACTGCTCTTATGGTTGCTGTGGCCTATGGGAGAGTGAGAACCACCAAAGAGCTCTTGTGCCTTGGTGCCTGTGTGAAAAGATGTGATGCAGATGGCAACACTGCTCTCATCTTGGTCAGCCAGGTAGTCTCTTAGTACATGTCTTTACATTTGGTCATAAATTAGCCTTCAGACTGCCTTCAGATTACCAAAGTGGAGCAAAGCAAGGTCAATTGGCTGAACAGGGAAAATTACAACTCTGCAGATGAAGAGATTATGACTCTTCTGTTGGACTATGGCACATGTCCCAATGTTTCCAACTTCAAGGGTAGAACGGCATTACATTATGCAGTGCTGTCTCGCAGGCTCAACTTGGTACAGCTTCTATTGAGGGCTGGGGCTTCAGTTAATGTCAGGGACTCTGATGGTGCAAGTCCAAGGGACTTGGCTGTGAGGAGTGATGATGAAGTTTTGCGCACTTTTATGGTCAGTATTTCACTGTTTACAGTATTACCCATTTTCCCTCTACAAACTTTCACAAACAATACGTCAGAAACAATGAGTGCCAAGTTCCAAATGAATGTATTTTTTGTTTTAGCCATTTTCAAAGGCCCCAGAATTTTTTTGTAAGATTTTCACAGATGTGAAATAAAGATCTATAAACAAAAAAACCATGCTGAAGAAGAACAAGTAACATACAGTGAGACCCCCAGATGTGGACATAATTGGTGCATCAAGAGTGTCCCTATGTCGGATTGTCCCCAAGTCAAATCTTGTTTTCCCTTAGACTTACATTGTATAATTTTCAATTGGTGTTTTATGGAAGAAATATTCTTCAGAATTTCATTTAAAAAAATTTTGCCACTTGAATTTGATTCAATGAAAATCTTTTCAAACCAATAAGAACATTTGGAACATTGAATAGTGTACCTCTGTACAGTAGATTGGAAAGTTGGCATCTGGAAAAATAACATCCATGTCACAAAGAGAGCAAGAAGGAAGTCCCTCTGTCCTATAGGGCATTTTTAAAATTAGCTGAATGGATGGGAAAATGATGGGAAAAGTACCAAAGAATTTTTCTTGTATAGATCTTAGTTGGAAACATCTGTTTCTTGCAATTAAGCCTTATAAAAATTGATTATCCTAAAATTTATTTTGGAATTTTTTCCTGCAATGTCGCCAGGTCAAGTCAGTGTCCTCATATTGAGTCTTTTTTATGATTAGTTTTTTGAAAAATAAATGTCCCCATGCCAAATCATCCCCATGTCAAGGCGTCCACATGTGGGGGTCTTACTGTATTTACTCAAGTACCACATGCACCTTTTTCCCAAATTTGACAGGAAAAATGGGGGTGTGAATCATACGTGGGTATAAATTCTTATAAAAAATATTGAAAATTGTTTTGGGCATTTTAATTGCTTCTAAGGAAAATTTTGGGATCAAGTTTTAACAGCAAACCTATTTTAATTGGAAAAATTAAAAATGGCCAAATTAATATCAATTGATGCATAAACTCAAATTTTGGTGTTCTTAGCCTTGAAATATTGTGGTTTTAGAGTCATTAACATGGACAGTGCATTTTACTTTGGGAATGTTAAATAAACTAAATATTCAGTATTTGCCAGTCTTCTTGGGACAAGGGCATAAGGCAAACATTTACCAAATAAAGTCAACATTAAACTTCATTTGGATTCTACATTTTTCATTACTTTTAGCTTCCTAATGCTTGAGATACTACGTTTTTCATTTTACCTTATTTTCCATATTCAAGCATCAAAAGAAAAGAATAAAGTTGCTCCAATTGTGTAATTAGACACAACTTTCTTGCTCTGAAAATATTGACCAATACTTGACAAAATTCAGTCTGACTGATTAAAATTGAATTTATCTAAATCATGTGCTGAATTTTCCAGTGCATGTCACTTTCCAAGATCATCAGAGTGCTTGGAAAGATGGCTCCTTTCCCTAGACCCAAACCAGGGTGTTCATTGTGTGAACAACATCAGCAGCAGCATCAAGAAAAGCCTCTCTTCAATCCTGCTTCCACATGCCCTTTCCAGTTGGACTCGCCAAATAAGCAGGCTGAGCATTGCCATTCAAAGCAGCACAGCCCAGTTCAAATTTGCCCACAGCCTGTGTCCTTCAGTTATGCCCCAGAGCCATCTTGCCCAAGACTGATGCCAAGTGCCCCTCCTGACATCAGTGAGCAAAATGAGAAAAGTTGCTCTTCACCACCTGCAGACTACAAGTAATCTATATTCCAATTACTGCACAGGAATGAATAATTAATTAAAACTGGGGGAAATTAAACAGGTGTTCAGATGTGGAGAGACCCATTGGAGGACATGCAAATAAGCAAGCCACAATATCCTGTCATGGTGGCAGAAAAAGGTCTTCCGGACACACAGTGCAAATTGCACAGGCACCAGTTTACAAATGTGACTCCATACCAACTGTTCCAGTGAACAAACCCTGTTTCCCATGTTGTCTCACTAGTGGGATAAAGAATACCAAATGCAAGGGCAAGAAAAAGAAGAAGACCCCATCAAGGCATCAAAGTACCCCATCCTGTACTTCAAAGACAAAAGTCAACAAATCTTTGAAATGCTGCTCATCTTCTGAATGGTCTTCCGGTGCCTCATCTAGATGAATAAAGTGTCCAGAAATTAACTGAATAAGAAAAGCAACTTCATTTCATAGCAGCATGTTTTCTGAATGACTCAGACAGTAAGCATGCAATATTGACATCTACAGTGGCTAGAGAAAGAACCACATTTTTCATAACTTCAGAGAAATTGATTCAAAGCATGAACAGTCCAAACTTACCATTAAGGAACCCATTGGTCCCTTTGGGATTCAATACAAATTAAAGAGATCCTGTTCATAGTTTTGCCTTTATAATGAATATTTTCATCATCAATTATACAGTATGTCTTAAAATACTGTACTTCAATTATTGAGAGGTTTAAAATGAAATTGCATGCAACTACTTTTCCATCATTGTCAACTATCTTGTCTCCTGAAGTGTATTAACAAGACAAATGTTATCACATCAAACATAAAAAAGTGTTGATCATGTTGCAATAAAAAAGTAATTTTGGGGGACAGGAAATTATTATAGCTGCAGAGAACTAATCACTTTTGCCCTGTATTTTGTTGTTGGATTTTGTGGAGATTTACTGAAATTGATATTCAGGAAATTTAATTTTATTAGCCACAGCTGTCACAGTTTGTCATCTGGCATTTTCTTTCAAGTGCCCTACTGGTTATCAACATGGCAAAAACCTTTAATGCAAGTGCAAAAATCAACAGAATGCCCTTGAATCTGACCATTTTTCAAGTTGGTCTCTATACAATCATCAAAAAAGATCAACGTTCAAAACAGTTTGTTTTGAATGCTTGAACGTTCAATTTCAAAATATATCTTTAGATCAAATTCCTCTATTTGTTTAAGTACCCTTCCTCATCATGTACAGTTGTAAATTGAACATTTTTGATGTAAAAAATATATTTGTAGAATTTTTTCATTTCTATAAGTTTGGATTTTGCTTGTAACTATGGCAGAAAAGTTCATTTGTTATAGCTCCAATATTTATAACTACAAAACCTCCAAAACCTGGTTAAAGATGACATCCAAGTAATTTCATGCATATTACAACATATACTGTATACTGGTATTGCAATGCCTAAAATAATCCATCACGCAGTGGGGAGCTATTTTTGCTGTGACCCCACAGTAGGTGCACACCAGGGTCACAACTGTTGCAAATGGGATAGTCTGGGGTTACAAGTGTGCACTCCTGTAGAGGAAATTTTGCTACCATTCCAGGGTTACACTTGGTGCAAATACCCGAGCGAGGATGCTACGCTCGGGTTGCCGCGTGAACGCGACCCCACATATATTAGCCAGAGCTGTCAGAGCTTGTCATCTGGCACTTACTTTAAAGTGTCCTGTAGTGGTTATCAACATGGCAAAAGCCTTTAATGCAAGTACAAAAATCAACAGAATGTCCTTGAATCTGACCATTTTTCAAGGTGGTCTCTATACAATCATCAGTAAAATATCAACGTTCAAAACAGTGGCAATTTCAAGTACCCTTTCTCATCATGTAGAGTTGTAAATTAAATATTTTTTATGCTAAAAATACATTTGTTGAATTTTTTTTTTCATCTGTATAAGTTTGGATTTTGCTTGTAACTATGTCAGAAAAGTTCATTTGTTATAGCTCCAATATTCATAACTACAAAACCTCCAAAACCTGGTTAAAAATGACATCCAATTAATTTTACGCATATTACAACATATACTGTAAACTTGTATTGCAATGCCTAAAATAATTCATCACCCAGTGGGGAGCTATTTTTGCTGTGACCCGACAGTAGGTGCACACCAGGGTCACAACCATTGCAAAAGGGATATTCTGGGGTTACAAGTGTGCACTCCTGTAGAGGAAATTTTGCTATCATTCCAGGGTTACACTTGGTGCACAAATGGGAAATAACAGGAGCATCACACAAATGCACCAACTGTAACCTTATTGGTGTAACTTATTTGTTCACAAATGTGACCCTGAGTAATCCTGGTGTGAACACACAATTGGTGCACATTGGGGATATGCATGTGCAATATATAGAAGAACTTTGGTACACTTCAGGTGCTCAGCAGGGTCACTGTGTAGAATTAGGAACAAATCCCCAGTGTGCACGGATTTCCCCACTCCAGGCACTTATTCTGACGAAACACTGGTGGTGGTGAAACACAGTTTGTTCGCCCTCTCATAGATGTCGCCTTAGGAGACGTAGTACAGTATTTCCAAATAACCGTAGGTCCCATTTTTTCTCACTGAAACAATTGACAATAAGAGCAGCCATATGAAAATAATAAATTGCGATGCAGTGGATCTGCTTCTTTGTTACCACTGCTTTATAATATAATTTTTTTTTTTACAATTCTGAGTCAAAAGGACAGGAAACCCATAATGCAATGGACGGCATTTGTATTCTGTCAAGGGCTAAGAGATATTCCGAGCCCATTTCTGGAGAGAAAAGTGCAGTTCCCAGTACAGGGAAATAATCCTGGCGACACCGGGACTTATCTGATGAAAGAGAATATACATTTAAGAAAGATAGAGATGAAGAAAGAAAGAAAGAAAGAGAGACAAACTCGGCGTCTTTTCTCCAAGACCTCGAGACAGAAAAGAGACAGACAAGAGGACAGGGAAGAAAGATTCAAGTCTCTGGTGGTGTGCTGGTGGATGTGGTGAGTCAACTTTTTCCATGACCTCTTCTTTCTCTGGCCTTCCAGGTCAGACTAGGTGTCTTACACGCCGAGGGAACAAGGTGACCCTATTAGCCACTCTTCTCACGACTCGCCATGTGTCTGGCAGCCACCCTGGCTTCTCATTCAACACTCGTGGAACATCCGAAATCGTGACCAGAATCCTTCATGTTGGGGGGAAAAAATCAATTGCGCATTACAATTATTTTGCAACACCCTATTCACTTATTGAATCTGCTGGTTATACAAGAAATACGTTATACTATTACAGTGTTAAATATCATTGCAACAAACTGCCTGAGGGACTTGATGAAGACTTTATCATCTAACAAAAAATGCCTTGTTTGAAGGTCCATGGTTGTAATTTTGTGGGAAATTGTTATTTTTTTAAATACTGTAAAGTGCTTATTCCACAATAATGTACAAAGAAATCAAGATTAATCTGTCATGATTTCTAAGTCTCTCTGCTGGAATGAACAGAACATTTTTGAATACATAGCACAATACAGTGCTGGTCCTCACCTGACAGACCTCTCACATAAGGGACTTTTGCCTAAAAGACCTCCTGCTTAAGGGATTTTTGCCTAACAGACCAGCTCTGCAGGCAATTTTTTCTCCTGCCCAAAAGAAAAAATTTGCCAAACAGACTTCTGTTGGTATAAAAATTAGTGTTGACAATTGAAAATTTTAAATTTTTGTATACAGTGAGACCCCCACATGCAGACGCCTTGACCTGCGGACAATTTGAAATAGGGACACTTATTTTCCCATAAAAAATTAATAAAAATGTCTCAACATGAGGACACTGACTCAACATAGGGACATTTTGTGATAAAATTGCAAATACATTTCCAGCCTACTTACAAGAAACAGATCTTTCCAACCCTGAAATTGATGTAAGAAAAGTTCTTGGGCATTTCTCTCACCAAATTACCATCCATTTAGTTAATTTAAAAAAATTACCTCCAGCATAGAAGGACTTCTACTTTTTTTTACTTAAATGTTATTTTTGTAGACGCCAAAATTGCAGTGTAAATTACAGAGATACACTATTCAATGCTCCAAATGCTCTTATTGAGTTGAAAATGTATTCAATAATTCAAATTCAAGGGGCAAAAAATTTTAAAGGGAATTCTGAAGAATATTTCTTCCAGAAAACACCGATTAAAAATTATATAATGTAAGTCTATGTGAAAACAAGACTCAACTTGTGGACATTTCAACTTGGGGACACTCTTGATGCACAAATTACGTCCGCATCTCAGGGTCTCACTGTAATTGAATTTGTCTGAAGGACCTTGTGACTAACAGACTTGTCCATTTTATAAATTAAGTCTGTTAGACAGGGGCTGACTGTACTTCTCCTTTCATTGAACCTGCCTCTCTACCAACAGCATGTTAAAGCTTGCATCAATGATCTTTTTTGTTGTGCTTTTGGTTGCACATCTTCACCCCTCTCCCCTTAATTTAAATTTTAGAATTTGCACACCCTCTTGAAAGTAGCATGAAGTGTGATATTCAAATTACTGGTCCTGCTCCTCATTTATCCATGTAAACAGCTTTGGAAAATGCCAGCTCAGTGGCTGACAACTTTTTTAAGACACTTTTTAAAGCTGACAACTTGTTTTAAGTTTAAAAAAACTTTTTTTTTCATTCAATGTGCTGTTCATTCTTTGTGACCAAACCATGGCACCTGTACCATGGTAAAAGTATATAGAGTTACATTAAAAAGGAAGCTTCCATTTGGCATTTTTCCATTGCCACAGCTTGATTTGCTACTGAGCTATCCTAAGTAGTAATTAGTTCACTTTTTTCTGGCCCACCCTGTATAGGTACTATAGCTGTCCCCATGTTATAAGGCTTTTCAGCAACAAAATTCTCACTACAACGGATTTTTCTGGTCCCTTAAATTTTTTTTAGAGTGAGTTCACCTGTATACAGTAGAATCTCATTACAATGATTGATTGCTCACAA